CTACCGCTGATTGTTAAACGTAAAGCTTATTTGTACGCTGATTACGGCACATAAATTCTCTATAATACAGATTCAGTTCTATACATAAGTTTTTCCACATATAAATTTTCTAGCATTATTGGACACACCAGATGTAGATGCCAGCCAACGGTTATTCTCAGTCGGATGAAATCTATACGATGTTTATTCACAATGCTATCAATAGGAATTGATTCGTACTGGTGTGCGACGAGTGTTGAACTGATAACCAAGGATAACTAAAACCAAAGCAGATCCGGCAAAATGTGTTTGGTCATGGCTCTGGCGTCAACCTGACAGCTATCATTACACATAACGGATTAAGCAAATAGAAAGTATAAAGTAGAATCGACATGGACCGAAAGCAGCAGAGCAGCGTGTGAGTTTGCTTCTGACCACCAAACGTAACAAGAAGCCTTAGTTAAGTAGGTAAAACAGACCTTTCCTTCTCTTAAGCATTTTAAGCACATCATATTCGAGGAAACAACGAACCAAATACGCCGCACAAAGACTATTCAATGCCCAGCATGAATTCGACTCCATGGAATTTTCATGTACTTGAACCATACTTGGTTACACAACTACAAAAAAAAGGCTTCCAACGACTTCCACATGAATCTCAACCATCAACGTATGTACATTGGTAAAATCTGTTATAACTAGACTTGATGTTTAGTAACACAATATTAATGCAATCAACCAGAGGTGGGCCACCAAATAAGACTATGCACGCCCCGTATAATATCTACAAGTCCATCTCTTTACAACCACTATGATGTTGGGATACTTGCAAAACTTGGACCGCATGCCAGATCGAACCCACGCTTGCCTTTCTCGGGAGCTCATGTGTTACGCACTGCACAACTGAAGCCCTTACTTTGCCATGGTTTCAGTCAGTTTTTCTACCTAACGGTGCTATCAGCCATCACCCATCAACGAAAATGATCTGGGAAATAGAAATCGGCATTGAACCCAGTTATGCTGAAGTTGTATTCGAAATCACATTGTTAACTTTTTGTTTTTTGCTTATTATTATTATTATTATTATTATTATTATTATTACTATTATTATTATTCATTGTAGGGTACAATGTGAAATACAATCACTATAATGTTGAGATATTTACAAAACTTGTAGCGCAGGGAGATCTAACCGATGATTACCATTTCCGATGGGGTTACGTGTTAAGTGTGCTAAACTGAGACCCTTCCTTTGCCTCTTTCTCTTTATTTTAAAATCATTGTATCGCGAAAATATTTTTTATTGCCAACGATTATTCAGAACCTCATGAGTATAGATTTAGCATTCATGACTCAACAAAGTGCTGAACGAACAGATTCATCAAACGACAACTGCATTCTCTGGACTAACTACCCTATGCTGCGGTCACCAGAAGTGCGATGAATTATAAAGAAAGCCCCGAAAACGAACTGAATTCTTGATTCTCCGACCTCACAACTTATGCGGCAAAGAATAAGCAATCCATAACCGACTTGACAGTGCTGTACTCTAGGGTCTAACACTTTCCAGTTTCTTTCAAATCGTTCCATGTAAGTAACTGTAGACTAAAACAATAATAACCTAAGAATTTTTCACTAGAAACCACAAAGGTGAAATCTGGAAGATTATCATCACCAGTTCATACGAAGTAAGATCGTTTACATCACAGAACGATAAAAGGGTAGAATGACAGAATGTAAATATGAGTTAAAATACGCCGACTTCGTCTATATCATCAGCTTAACTTTGTTCAATGTCGATTTGTGCCCCCCGATAATTCGCGTTGACGGATGATTGCTGATAGTACCGTTAGGGCAAAAAAAAACAAACTGAAAGGTAAATCAAGGGCCCTTCACTGATGTAGTTGATAGCACGTCACTCTCCATAAAGGGTAATTGCGAGCTCGAAGCCCACCTGAGTTGCCGAATTTTACCTATTCCATCTTTATGGTTATACTCGATATTATTCAAGATATGTCTCCATTAACATGGACAAAATATCGCTCAAATGAACCAAATACTATGTGGAACGTAAAAGTCACACGAATTCCGATATTATGAAGGCGAGCGAAAGCCAGAACCACTGGTTGTATATTTTAAAATAATTAGGTGATTCACCATCTCTGCGGTTGCAGTTCTTCCTGATCTCTTCCAGAATTCCGTTGGTCGCTCGAATTTCACAATCCACTTCGTAGCATTCCAATTTTCTAGTGCTACAGTACCCATGTGGTTGCAGTTCTTTCAAACATCTCCTCTCACGATTCTGCTGGTCCCTCGATGTCGACTGTCGGCGACGCCGCGGCGCGTATTCTAACGAGCAGCGCGCGCGTTTTGCGTTCGTTCGCGTGCGCGACGGCTAATTCATTTCGGCGCGCCCGAATGGCCGTTAATGCGTGCCGGCCGGCCGCCGCCCCGCCTCGGCGCCAATTTCCCGCAATCGACGGCAATTTCGACGCGAGCGGCGGACGGACGGGATCATCGTCTCCCTCCAGCCCGTACCTCATAGGCCGGTTCCATGCCAGAAACCCTCTACTTCAGCGTTGTCGAGATGACAGCCACTAACACTTAACGACGTTGAGTGACGACGAAAGAGCGTATTTACTGAGCGGAGGAAGGCAGAACGGCCGTAAACAACATGCATAATGCATCTGGCACAGAGAAAAAAGAAAAAAAAGCTCGGGTATTACGTATAAATAAAAAGGATAACGGATAAAGTTCTCTGCGTTGATCAATGCCTAAGGGATGCGCCATTCATTCCACTTCATCAAGCATCGTTGGAGGTGATCGAATGCATATCTGGCCTGGATAGTAACTCGCAGTGACCTGCCAATGTTTTGAATTAGTGCTTCTATCCTCCCAGACAGGTCCGCTACCAATTTTCCGACCCTGGACTGATGGAAGGCTTGATTAGCCTGGGCTTGGGGTCGATCCCAAGTGTATCGCAGGGCGTCTCTAACAACCGCGTTACATGCTAGTATTGTGCGGAGCATGCATAAATCGCTTGGTTTGCGTTACGTGAATCACTATCATAGCCGCTATAATCCCAAATCGGTCTACTGAGGTACACATCGTGGATTCAGAACTCGATTCACGACTCAAGAAAAAAGCGTTCCTACACCCAGATACAGAAGTAGAGTTCACAGACTCTGAACCATTAACAGCCCATAATCACAATCTTCGACTAAATAGTAACAATATTTTATTGACAAAAGAAGACATTACGTATATTAACGAGTAAAAAAACGCACGGGACACATACATCATATAACGCACGGTGCAATGAATTCTCTCAAGTCAGCCAAGGTGCGTGTTGTGTGCAGCGTATATGTTATGGAGGCATGATGAACACACAACGGAGAGGAACAATATCCACAATTTTCATGGATATCACATAAACACACACAGAGACACACACTCACAATGGATACATATCGTCACGATGACCAGCGACGCAGTCATCCACTGTGGCAGGCGGCACATGCTCGGCGACGACTGCACCGAGCGATTCGAGAAGCGTTCATCAGCGCGAAGTCATGACGTGCCACGTGCATCACTCGATGACACGTAGCAATACATACTACACTCTCTCATCATAGTTTCTCATATAATTTTTATTAACATGAGATCACCTCACATATAATCACTTCCGATTCTTCGCAGACGTCAGCGATAACAAACTGTTTCATATCTCTGACATCATCACAGAATAGTACTCGAATCGCTCTGCGAACATATAAAGTATAAATAAAGACATCATACACACATAAGCCACATGATCACGATGCGCTGCTACACAAAACAAATCGCTTGATGAGATCACGCTGCCAGTGCCAGACTTACTAAACAGTAACTGAAAGCAAGAATCCAGAAGCCGGAACACACGCTTTCATTGCTCCCATGGAGAATGTTCCCGATCAAACAGTTCATGAGTAATTCGTTTTTCAAAGCAATGCAAAACGTCGAAAAAATCTACAGCTCTCGGTTGTGTGCTCTTTCGAATCGGACCGTTATTGCCCCCAAGTAGTAAGAAGAAAATCAATCTCCTTACACACTGTAAACATTGTCTAACAATAGCGACGTGATTTTGTAGGGTGATCTTTTAAAATCACAAATAAAAATCTGGTGATGAGGAGTGATGATGATGATAATGATACATACACACATTCATATACACCGATTGCGGGCGAAGAAAGAAGTTCGTTCAAGGAGGCTACTCAGAAGCTGACACGTACGTTCAAATCCTCGCACACGATGTGTTATTAACGTAAAATCCTGAGTATCAAAGCAATAGAAAACCCTAAATATGCTATATAATGCAAGAAAGGGCATGCACTTGTCAGTAGTAGACACAACTATTCATAAAGAGGTTTAAGTAAACTTTGAAATGACAGTAAGTGCACATGCCTTTCCAACAGTAAACTCAGGAAGAGAACTATGCAGGCAAAGCGGAAATTCAAAGGAAAATTACACAAACGAAGCATGATAGAGATGAAGAAGGAAAAACGGCTAGCAGAACACCACCGGGTTGAAGATCTTAGGCTATCGAATCGCTCTCTCTACCAATAATGGATAATTGTCCTAAATAGAAAACGCTCTGTGTAGAAGTAGATTAAGACGCCTAGAACAGTAAATGTGCGCTCAAATGTGACTGATGGAAACACCTGGTGAAAGCGTGTACTAAAAGCAAAATACGAAGAAGCAAAACAATAACACAATAATCGATCAAATCGATTAGAAATGGAGGATGGCAGGCCCGTATTGAACAGACGTCATCGATCACAATGTTTAAGAGGGAGAAAAAAAAAACAAAAAAAGAACGAATATAAACACCATTACAGCGTATGCATTGCAATTAGTGAATAGCCAACGATCAACATAGGAAAGTTGACTATCTGCTACCCAATCTAGGAGCTCTGACTCAGCTGAGAAGCGTAACGATACCACGTATATACACAGAAGATGAGAATGGTGCTCTTTGGGTACTATTCGATCAACACCGCTTTTTGTTTGTCGACGTCCAATCGACACACCGGGCACTTCTTGTTGTACACCAACCATTTGTCGATGCAATTCACATGAAATATATGCGTACAGCGTAGATTGCGTACTTCTTCGCCAGTTTCGAACTCACACAGACAAACCGTACAACGCTCTGTTTCGTTCTCTGGCACCTGTAATTGCAGCCTATCCACTATATCATGTCATTCTGAACGTTCGGTGAAAGTAAAACTCGATGAATTCTAATTTACTTCTGAAACTATAGACAATATATGTCATTTTTGCATAGTTTGGAATGAAATGAGAAAATAGCCCTCAGAAAGTGGTAATAAAAAGAATAAGGGACAAAGCACTCGGTGTTGATCAATCCATGACGGATGTGCCATGCACTCGACTTCATTAACCATCACTGGAAGTGAATGAAGGCATATCTGACCTTTATATGACTCGCGGTGGCCTACCGATGTACCGAGCCAGTGCTGCTATTGCGCTATCGCCCATATAAGTCTACTCGCAATCTGCCGAACTCGGAAGGATGAATGGCATGGCGAGGCTGGGGTGCGGTGATCAATCCCAGGTGTAGTGCAGAATACCTCCGACCACTATGCTACACGCGCCCCTCGAGGAAGAGGAACAGAATCCAATTAGGAAGTGATTGCAGTAACAACGAACTAGTCCGCCTCATTTTCAAAAACAAATCAGGCATAAATTAAGCTTTTAAAGCGCCTATCACAAACTGAACATGCATAAATTTTTGTTAACTTTCAGCAGCATAAAATACAAACTAAACCATAACAATGACTTTAAGACTGTTTAATGTATAACTCACAACTAAGCCCCACATCATTTCTTATTTCAGTATCACAAGTATACCTTAAAATTAACGCTCCCTCTCTTAGCAACCTAGAAAGTGTAAAACTACGAGCGCGTACTTTTAGTTTCAGTTTTCGTTGTAAGATTATTCGACAAGAAAGTCTAGAACTCGATAAGATGGCATAAGAATGTGCAAACAATAGTTGAAAAATTGAAGCATTCGTTCTACATATACAACGCAAGTTGTCTACCTCTACATCTTTTATAAAGTTGATTTTCTCGGTGCATTTCTCGATATCCTGAGGACTCGCACCAACTGGTAATGGTTCAGCGACAGGAGCGGCAAACATATGGTGTCGATCCAGCGGTCGCTCAACCATACCAAGTAGCTCTGGAGGCATTCCAGTATTGACGAGCATATGCAATTCCAAACGACCATTCTACAAAAATACACATATAATAAACTTAATCAGTTCAAGCAAAAAATGAAAAATAGGAAAGAAGTAGAACGAGCAGTGAAAACTGACAGGTAGACGTACCGACGCAGCCGGATAGCCTCCGGTTCGCGGTAGTACATATAGTCCTGTAGAACTTGGTAATAACCGTCCAAACTGGCTCAGCTGGTCTTGTTGTCGCTGTTGCTGTTGTTGTTGCTGTTGGTGACGTTGCATTGACTCCAACATGTGGCTCGCAAATATCGCGTCGTGGACATAGCGAAGTCCAGCAGATGCCATTTGAGATAGTTGCGCCTGTGGAGCAATATGCGCGAACTGTGGAGTACTCGGCACTGTCATTTGTTGAACTCTAAAGCATAAAGAAAACGTCAGTAAACGCCGACTAAAAATCGAAGTGGGAGAATTGAAAAGGAAGAAACTAGAAAAGGAGATATAATATAACTCACGTAGGATGTTGACCCGGTGCAGGATTCAGCCCAGCGGTAGCTGTTCCACTTACAGCTGTAGAATGTGGACAGTATGCACAGTAGCACGGTATACATGCTGGACATGGACCCCGGGTTCCACAATGCACACATTGTGAGTGCGTAGGATTGGTAACAATATCGGCACCATTGGCACTGACCGCTGCTACGGCAGCTGCAGCCGCCACTAATTGTGACGTCGACGGCGGTTGGTCAGACTGTACTTGTTGTTGAACGCTAGGCACCGCAGGAGCAGGTGGTTGAATCATTGGTTCGGGCTGAACAGCCTAAAAAGAAAATCATTAAGTTCCTTATCATTATAAATTCCAGCAGCTATGTAGTGATTGTAAACTACTGGACAAACACTTTTTGTGAACTAAAAATTCTGAGAATATCCTACCTAGTCATAAAATCCCCTAAACCGACCTGGATATCACGTGCACGAGTACCATCGCTCACCACTCGCCGCAGCTTCGGAGCTCTAACGGCGGCATCCAGGGCTGATTGCACTCGTGAAGATATCGGAGCGCCGCGCTTCAGTCGCATCGTCATTGAATGCATTTGTGGCGCAAGCGTCGGTGGCAACGATGTATGCTGTCGGGCTATCTGTTAGCATAAATTATTAAATGGTAATAACTCATCTCTAAAAAAAAAAAAATGGAAACAGTCAGGAAAAAACTAATGGAAATCAAAAATAAAGATTTGCCAAATTAATAATTCCAGCTGAATAAAAAAAGGTAAAGCTCTTGGCGTTGATCAATCCCTGAGGGTGCGCCATGCATCCGACTTCATTAACTATCGCTGTAGGTGAATGAATGCATAACTGACCTTTACAATGACTCGCAGTGGCCTACCGATGTATCGGCTCAGTGCTGCCATCATCCCAGACGATTCAGGTACCAATTTGTTGAACCCGAGAAGTTGGAGGGATTGGTGGGCCAGGAAGCGAAGATCAATCCCATGTGTATTGCACGCCACTTGCAACCACTGCGCTACACGCGTCCCCTACTCCAACGGTCACACACCATATTTTACTACCTTCAATTTATTTGCTCTTCCATTCTTCTTGTGTTTGTGTATTTAATAAAGAAGGTAGGTGATTTTGATCAAACTACACTGGCAAAGATGAAACATTCTCACATTAAATAACAGTTGATCCGAAAACCCAGCGGTGCAACGAACCAAAAAACTGACCGTGATATCTTTGACGTGAATAAGGATATGTATGCATCTATATAAGTGAAAGAGTGTGACCGGATGAGGGAATTTCCTATATACTCATATACATACATCGCTCGAGAAACCAGTTTCCCTGCCAGCATCAACGTGATATAGGAAATGAGTATATGAGTATATAGGAGATGGTGGTGCACCGATTACGACAGTGGCACCATAACACATAACGACGTGGATGCAGGCTGCTCGTCAGCCACCGACATCAGAAAACAAGTTCAAGGAAACGACGACAAAATGACGGCAATCGACATTCCATAAGAAGAGCCAACACATCTCCATTACAAACTAACCTCCACTTCCCTTCGCTGCTGATGCTGATGCTGATGTAATACAACGTTGTTCGACAAAGTCAATTGCGTTTGTGGCAACTAGAAGAAAGAGAATCCAGAAACGTGACAGTTTATAACCAACTGACGCCAAATGGTTCCTCAGACAGATTGTAACAAATTAAACACAAAACAACAGGGCTCCAAAGAACAGCAACCAACCTGTGACGGATCATTGATTATCTGCTGTTGCCCGCTATGTTGCTGTTGCTGCTGTGACGCAACTGCACCGATGGATTGTTGCTGTGTTTGTTGTTGTGATGGAGCATGTTGTGACTGTGGCACAAGAGTATAACTCGGTGTCGCTTGACCATATGCAATTGGTGGATGGTGCATTGAGCAAGGCTGGGACGGCGAGGAATAGATGCACGATTGGCACATCATCGGCTAAAAGTAATACGGTGACAAAGTGGTGCGAGACGGTTGGTAAATACTGAACTCTCGGCAGAGAATCAAAAGGAGTCCGGTAGACCTTTCCCGTAGAACCTTCACATTTTCAACCAATTTTTGAAGTGAAAAATACAAGAGGAAGCTTTGCTGTTATATAGGAGTGGTGACCACCATGATTTTTAAAGCTAAGACGCATACACACAAACCTGCAATAATAGTAGCGAAATACTATAAAGATGCTTTAAAATATGAAATTTGGTTTCTAAATCGGAAAACGGTTTAAACGCATAAGTAATACATTTTTATATGTTCTCGATCCATAAGAATCCTAAAATGTCGACAACTGATTGTTTAGTGAAATCAGTAGCAAGATTCTGTGAGCACAAAGACTTCCCCAATGAAGAACGCTCCTAGCATCAAATAGATCTCCAAAAGTGAAATAAAAGGATAAAGCTGCCGGCGTTGATCAATCCCTGCGAGATGTTCTATGCACTCGACTTCATTAAACATCGCTGGAGATGATTGAGTGCATATCTGGTGACTATGACTCAAGGTGGCCTATAGATGTATTGAGTCAGTTCTATCCTTCCAGACAAGCTTGCTATCAATCTGCCGACCCCGGAAAGATGGCGAGCTTGGTGCGGATGGGGCGCGGGGATCGATCCCATGTATATTATGGGACGCCTCTCACCACTGAGCTACATGCGTTTCCCTTTTCCAAAGGTAGCAGTAGTAACCTCAGACTGTATGAATGGTATAACAAATCGGCGATCATATCCACGCGGTGCATGCAATCCAAGATTGTGGTCACATGTTTGGATAACAATAACATTCAAAGGCACTCGCAATAAACTAGTGAACAGCTAGCCAGTAAAGGTTGCAGAACGTTTATAGCTCAATAAACATTAGTCTGAAAAAAAATATTTTCAAAATTCATATGCTTAACTAATTAGGAGGCGGATAGCACAGTTGTAGTGATGTCCGTCATCATCAGCACGGTGCTAATTCCATTCCACTGTGGGCGAACAAAGCCTCTCACACCTCCGTGGTCAGGAAATTGGTACCGGATTTGTCTGAGAAAAAACTACTCTCTGCAATACAATTAGGAACGCTCCAGCCCGGCTATCTCAGGACTCCAAGGAGAATTGCTAGAGCAGCATTCTACGACGTTCACGACGAAATCGAAATCCTTAAGCAGCAAACGAAGTCACACATAAAAGTTTGAAGATCTTCGTGGACAATGGATACGAGGAAACGAATCGAATATGAGAAGTGCTAGGATCCGCACAGTAGACGTGAAGACGGACCGAATAAACAAATGAAATAACTAGTTAGTCCGCGTGTGACGCAGTGGTCGGAGGCGTCCCGCAACACACACGTGGGATCGAACTCCACGCCCATGGCCCACCCAGCCTTCCATCCCTCCGAGATCAGCAAATTGGTACCGGACTTGTGTGCGAGGATAGCAGCACTGGCTTGATACATCGGTAGGCCACCGCGAGTCATTGTAAAGGCCAAATATGCATTCAATCACCTCCAAACGACGCTTAATGAATTCGAATGCATGGCGCATTCCTCAGGGATTGATCAATGCCGAAAACTTTATCCTTTTCTTGGGCTTAACATGTTTCCCATTCTTTAAAAAAACATGACAGAACTTTTCCGTATAGTTTACCATCCTTCGTACACAGTTATGGTGTGGTTGTAACGTCACTTTGTAGCACAGTAAAAGGCTAACATCTACTTTGGGGAACATTGAAAAATGACTAACACCACGACGACGTGATTAAAACCCGTATTCATGGCTGAGTAGAAACCATTAATAAAAATGTGTGCTAAAGAGGTTGCTAACGCAAAAAGATAGTTGTAACCAAACACTGGGAGATGAACTAATATAACAAGCCGCCCGCTCAGGGTCATGGTTTTACAATTACCAGCAGCTTATTTGGAGCCATGTGTAATAAAATCATGAACAAGAGTTATAAGCATATAGTAGACCGGCTATATATATTTTGCACCAATTTTCCAAAGTACGCGAGGTAAATTTGCACCTTTTAATGATAACAAAATCAGAGCAGCCATAAAAGTGGTGCGTTGTGCTTATAAAGAAAAAGAAAACAACGAACTAATTCAAAGGATCTCGATAATTCGACACACCTGAGCGCTCAACAAACACGGCGGGACCGGGTTCTGCGGCAGGACTAGACTTGCAGCACCAGCAGCCGCGGCGGCGACAGGATGATGATGATGTCGGTACATCATCAGCTCGAGCGGAATGTACGTGGACGCGGTGGCGCCCGTCAGCGGCTGTGGGGCCGCCGCATCGCCGCTGGGCATCGTCGCCGCCGCCGCGGCGGCCGCGTAGGCGAACTGCTGCGCGGCTGATGTGGCACTACGGGAGGCGGCGCCCGCAAGCGGCAAAGTGGCCGGCGTGGGATCCATCGTCGTCACTCGCAACCTCACACAACTCTCGACAACCACCTGGACGGCACGACTGCCGCGAATGCAGACCTGAGTGAATGAGACTGACTGAATGACCGTGAATTCTTATATGCTGACGATAACACGCATAACAATCGGCATGTTAAACGAAGATAAAATTATTTGTGAACAAAAAAAAAAACGAGGAAAATAAAAGCCCGAATAATGAATGAATCCCGAAGAACGCTAGGGAAACAGTTTTGTGGAGCACGGATTCAACGCATAACTCAAACCGTCACATAAGCCTTAGATAGTGATTAATCAAGATGTTCCTAACAGATAAGGAATGCAAGTAGAAAAAGATAAACTCTTGCCACGGCTTCAACGATCGCCATGGAGCAGATGGCGTACAAATATAACAATTGCTAAGCCGAACGCAATCGAAGCAAACAGGATTTCATTTAAGGAATGAATCTTAAATGAAAAGTTATATGCCACGAAGTGACAGAACTTTCTGATACTAATCGATAAAGCATGGATTCCACTTATCAAGAGAAGAATGAAAACGATCCATGGCAAGAAACTCAATCGGTAAGAGTTTCGATTTAAAACATACCATTAAAAAATCCAGATGCTGTAGAAAGAAGGGGACCCTAACCAGTACTAAGTCCAGTCTCTTCTCGGCATGTTAAAATCGCACAGTCGTGGGCTCAGAAAAAACGAGAATTCTCATAGCACCCATGGAATGTTAGTTATCGACATACTCTGATTCACTCATCGATTCTACGAGCGGATAGTAAGTAACCGTTGGGATTTAAGAGGTCAACAATAGTCTTTCGTGTTATCGATTGGATTGCATCAGTGATGCAGTTACGATGCGACAGCCACTTCAACGATAAAATAGATAAAAATAAAACACGTCAGAGTAGTTCTTTTTCCCGTATGGGTTGGTGTTACAACACAGAGAAATATACAAACGCTCAGTATAAGAAACAGATTCAGTTAAACTCCTGGCACTTCCTGCTAACATTCCACATCATCGATGAATTGTGTTAAAACCATACTAGCAGCACGTACATCTGCATATATCGCAATGTGTGTGGCAAAGAGCAATGGTGTCCTCGAGGGACGGGCACGAGTCGACGGCGAGGTCAACATCGTCGGCCAGACGATGGTCGAATGCCAGCAGACGCGCCCCGTGCCACAATTACGCGCCGCCGCCGTCGCTGCGATCACACCCGCGCTATCGCCGCGATCACGTCACGATGAAAAATCGGAACAGATTAGACGACACACCACCATCTCCCGCCCGTTCGTCGTCTTTCCGATTCCATCTCCACCACGTTCATTGTCATCGTTAGTCGATGCTCATTTGTTGCCTAGAAATGCAGATAGGTGTTCAGGTAGTCATCATTAACTTGACGAGATTCTTATCGATAAGAACTAAGAGTAGCAAATCTCAGGACCGACTCCATATTAATCTCGACACCGATCAATAAATCAATGTTCTCTTCTTGACCAAAATGTCGAAGAAAGTTTTTGCTAACAAGGTCGCGTCTGTTCAAGAAAACTCCTAACAGTGTAAGAGAACGGAGTCGACCTCAGTCACTATCCTTTAGATAGCGAGATATTCCTTTCCTGAATTAAAGAACAATGCACATTCGCTAGTGCTAAAGATACCATCACTTCCATGTCTAAAGACCTGCAGAACTTTTGACAAAACAACGACAAAATCAAAATCACAACCCATTCCTCCCATTTCAATCACTCCGTTCCATCATAAGCGACCCAACGACAAGGCGACCGCTCAAAACAACCATGAAAACATCCTACTTATACTTCGGAAGTTACATTTATACCAAAACGAAACACAACGAATCAAGACATGCATGAATTGGGAAATAGTTTACGACCACATAGCAGAATGGTGAAATGAGATATTCAGGACAAAGCATTGATTTGTCTCAGTCGGTATCCGCTCTGTTAGAATCAATACGCTGAGTAAACATTCAATCGATAAGCAAACAATTAACGGCCAAACGAACGGAGCGAGGAAGCGAGAGACAGCCAGTTCACATCCATCCCGTGCACCACCAAATTTCCGACAACAGTTGAACGAAGGTCAAAGAGAAAAAGATTAAGCACGGTTTTATGAATCACTAAAACAATATCAACATTCAAAAGGTTCACTTTTTATTTACTGCCTTTTACAAGTTTTCACGGCATGGTATTATTTGTGAAACAACTACAATGATGTTGAGATATTTGCAAAACTCCAGACTGTAAGTGTCTGCGGTGGGGAACGAACGCGCTATTGTCCTTTCCGGGGAGTAACGCGTTCACCACCACACCATTCGGGTCCTTCGTTTCGCCTGTCACTCAATTAGTTCTATCGATTACTGTCATCAGCTATAGCCCCAGCTTAACTGGGTTCAACGCCGATTTTTCTGGACTCCCCAGATCAATCCCGTTGACGGGTGATTGCTGATGGCAGTGATCGACAGAACTAGCTGAGAGACAGGCGAAACGAAGGACCTGAATGGTGTGGTGGTGAACGCGTTACTCCCGGAAAGGGCAATAGCGCGTTCGTTCCCCACCGCAGACACCTGCGGTCCGGAGTTTCCAAATATCTCAGCGTCATTGTAATATCAATATCAACCTTTTATTTAATACCTACTGTTGCTGTTTATTGCCTATTGTTTCCAAGGCAGGGTATGATGTGAAATGCAGTCACTATTATACTGAGATATTTGCAAAACTTGGACTTACTGAACCGCGATTACCTTTTTCGGGGGCTCACGGATTACGCACAGCACCACTGAAGCCCTTACTTTGCCTTTCTCTTAGCCAGTGTCATTCTTGTTACAAAGTAATCAAATTTTCCTCCTAACGGTTTAAAGCTTCATCGTGACTGGGAGGTATTCCTAAGAGCTTCGATATACGGCGGAGGATTTGTCGCCAGCAAGGCTTCTGAAACTGAGGAGTCCGACATTTCCAACAGGAATCCCACCTAAAAAGTAAACAAATACCGGATCCACCACAATCCTGGTATCGAACTATTCGCATGGTGGAAAATCGCGCTCCGATCCACAAAGGTGACTAGCGCCGGTGGTGGTGAGGACCTGGGGCAAAGTCTCGTTAGGACTCGGAAAACTCGGGAGTCAGGGAACCATAATGGCGAAACCAGCAAAACTCCGAAAAATAGAAATTGTACTGGGGCCCGCACAACCAGTGAAGACGAACCATCCAAGTATCCAAGTAAGTAAATGAAGCTGTAAACTAAAATTGGAAGCGTGGAAAACTAAGTAAATATCCCAAGACCGACTTTCTGTTAATCTCGGCATTAATTGATAATTCAATGTTTTTCTTCAATAAGCAGACACGAGGTTGTTAATATATATTAATATATAATATATTAACAACCTCGTGTCTGCTTATTGAAGAAAAACATTGAATTAAGTAAATATCATCTACTAGAATGAAGCGCGATGCACATGAATATACAAATGCACACACATACATCCAACCCTTAACGTTGGAGAAGGAAAAAATGTAGAACGAAGTTATGAAAGAAAAGTAAAAAAAGAAAGTGAGTACTGTGTGGAAACCTGAAACACTGTGTGTCACTGACAATACGTTGTATTATGGAATCAATAATAATTTACTGGTACCTACAGTAGTCTCAAAATTCTTCAAGAAGCACAAAGCACTAGATGTTTGCTCAATAGCTAAAACAAAACCTCAGCGTTGTGGAACCAACATAAGTATACTAAACATGCAGTGATAATATCAATCATCATGGGAATCACGTGATGGTAACAGTAATCACTAATTCAAATTCTTTTAACTGAGAAGAGAAGGACGAACAAGCTTAAAGCATCGCTGACACGAACCCGAAGTGTCCGTTTCAGTCACACTGAAAAACTTTGGTAAAGTGAAGATGTATGTAATAAATATACATTTATTTACTTAAAACTTGAACCACCCGTCATCACTAGTTGTGCGGGCACCAGCATAATCTCCATTTTTCGGAGATTTGTTGGTTAAGCCACTGTGGTTCCCTGGAATCCTGAGTTCAGCCTGGCTAAAATCTGCCCCAGGTCTTCACCACCACAGGCAGTCGCAGCCCTTGTGGATCAGATGGAGATTGGTCACCATGCTACTAGTCTGCTACCAGGACAGTGGTGCATCCTGGTATTGGTCTACTGTTAGCTACGCTTCCTGATGGAAACGTGGGACTCGTTCTCAGCTTGGGAGACCGTGCCGAGGGGACAAATTCCACCGCTGTACATCGCAGTCCCACACCCAGAAACACCTCCCAGCCACGATGAGGTGGTAAACAGTTGGGAGGATGCACATTTAAAAATTGTAAAACCAATTCACAAAAAACGTTCATTTCTAAGCCACACAACAGTTTAGAAATAACGAACAATGATGAGAACAGATACTTCAGAAAAAGAAAGAACGAACGCAGACTTTGTGAAAAAAACAAAACTGCTGTTAACAGCACCCAATCCGAGTACGAACAGAGAATATCACTTCGCCGTCATTTCCTTAACATATTCTTCATCGAGTGATCGACATAAAACCTTGCACAAATTTAATAAACGATGTTAACAATTGTAATAGTTCCCAAGATCGACTTTCTCTTAACCTCGGCATTGGAATATGAATGTGTCGTTTTCTTGTTCAGCAATCGCGAGGTTTTTAAACAGCATACATTTACTTCCATAGAAAAACACAATACAATACAACGCTAGCTGACGTTTCGGCAGTATCGCCTTCTTCAGAGCCTGGAAGGGTATACTGATATACAATCTACTAGGCCAAACGCTTCAATAACACTTACACAATTGTGACAATTGTGATTTCGACTACAGCCACTGCTTAACTGGGTTCAATTCCGATTTGTGCTCTCAAGATCATTCCCGTTGATGGATTTTTGCTGATGGCCCGTTAGGGTAGAAAACCAGCTGAGTGAAACGCAAAGCAAAGGCCTCAATGGCGTAGTGGGTAACACG